AATCTAACAAAAAACTCTTGGAAGAAGAAAAAACTGTCAGTATTTTCCTGAAAATATTTCGAAGAAATGAATGGCAAACCTCGCTGTTGCATCATCGCCTTCATGTGTTGCTGATGTTTCTGCATCATTACCATGTGGTACTGTTGAGCGCTCATCGTACCGCCGGCACCAGCCACTCCCATCATCATTTGCTGTTGGTGATGTGCCTGAATGAATCCGAATGAATGAATGAAATAAATGAATGTGCCTGAATGTTTCAAAATCAGCAATAAATTTAGCTTCAACAGTTTATGTCAGTCAAAGTTCAAGCTCACCTGCATGGCCATTTGTTGTTGTTGACTCATGTGCGCTGACGAGGGCATGTCATAGCCCGGATACCTGAAAAAAATTATTTTGGCGGATATGATTAGACTAATCAGTCTGTGATGTTCCAAGGTAATAGGAAATTCGCACTGACCCATTCATCCCGAATCCTGGATTCACCATGCCTTGTTGTCCCATGAACGCAGGATCAGCAGCATTAGACATCATTCCTCCAGAAGGAGCACAGGCATAGGGATTTGATGTTGACGGTTGTGGGCACGAAGTTGGATAACCAACAGCCGATGGCCATCTGTTGCGGGTACGCGCTTTGTTGCATGGCATTCTGTTGCGGGTAGTTCGATGGCTGTGGGGCTGAGGGAGGAAAGCCGACACTTTGGGACGACGACGCCATTGGAAAGTTTGTCGATGATGCCATCGTCGACGGGGGAAAGTTCTCGCCTTGAGAAGACGGAGGTTGTTGAAAGAAAGGTGCTTGGGATTGGGCATTTTGCGAGAACGATGAGGACTGGTTGGGAGTCGTTGAAGGATATCGGGTCGCTTGTTGCGGTGATGAAGGTGGTCGAAATGTGGATGACTGAGGAGATGATTGTGGAAAACTGCTCGGTTGTGATGTCGGTACTTGTGGAGGGAACGGCGTCGAAAGCGGTGCAGACGGCGTAGGCGTTGACGGCGGATTACAGTTGCTGTTACTTTGAGGTGCCTAAAATGGATGCTTTCGGATTTGTCAGATTGGGTCAATGAAAGACGAATCAACTTACCGAGTGAACCGAGTGGGCACTTCGAGGGCCTCCATGTGAGAATCCTGCTGGAGAAGAGGTAGAGTCTGTTGACGTTACCAATGGCACCTGCAAAGCAGAGAATAAAGGAAAAGATGACCTGAAGCAAAAGATAAAATCATTTTTGAGTAAATTTAGAATTCAGTCCACCAAACTTCTTCGAAGGTCACAGGATGCTGCTTCATTCATGATCACTTTTGTGTAACAGATTTTATTCTAATTTTTTTTTGCTACTTTTGGACCACTTATTATACTTTACAGTTGTTCGGTCAGATGAGAAACCCTCCTAATAAGAGCAAGGGCAGAAGTGGTGTAGTGACAAGTGGCGCGCTCACCACGCGAGCGGTCCGGGATCAAATCCTGTCGTGAGTCGCCCGGGCCAACCAAGCCTTCCATCCCTCCGGGGTCGGTTAATTGGTACCAGACTTGTCTGGGAGGATAAAAACACTGACTTGAACATCGGCTGGCCCCCGCAAGTCATTGTATAGGCCACATCGCATTCAAATGCCACGATGCGAATGGAAGCAGAGCGCGTGGCGCATCCCAAAGATTGATCTACGCCGAATGTTTTATCCTTTTCGCCTTTAGTAATCAAGAAACCGTCATTGGGCAGTTACACTAGCAAGAAATTTCGCGCGAGACATTCAGGCAACCTCAAGTAATTTTGCAGCCAATAAGATCTTCGTCTACGGGCTACTTAAAGATTGAAAAATGCTGATGGGCCGAGAAACCTTTCTGAGCAACTTATTTTTCAATGCAACCAAGCTCGGTCACGCCATAATAAAGGAAATTGCAATCGCTTCCGTAGCGATGAAAGCCGCCAAATATATAAGATCGGTAATAGCAGCACGAAGAAATTTCAACAAAAGGTACCCCTGCAAGTCGAGAAAGCTCAAAATTGTCGCAGAAACTACTCCATACTTCCTCGAGGTAAAATTAGCTCCAACAATTTGAAACCCTTACCTACTAATTCGGTGAATGGTCGTGACCTAAAGACTGCAAAAGCCTTTCATAAACCCGGAACCTCTACATGCTGCTCTAAGAGCATCTGGAAGATAGCTCAACCACACTCTTGGAGCCACAATGGCTCCTACGCCAAGCGCCTCAAGGCCCTACATCGACGCCGATCAGAAGTTCGACGCAATTCGAATAATAAAGAGAAATGATAAAGCGTTAGGCGTCGCCCAATCTCTTAGCATGCGTCATGCATACTACATCTTTTGGAGTCCTAGTGGTACTTAAAGCGATTTGACTGGTACAGCCAATAGCTGAGGCTAGCTGATAAATGAGTCTTTTTTGTCCTCACAGACATATGATACCAATTAATGAAGTCCGAGATGAGAAGTTTTGTTGACCTGGACGACGATCCAGGACCTGATTCCCGGACAATCGTGTGGTAGGTGACGCCACTTGCCACTACACACTCCCGCCCTGATTTGGAAGAGAATATGGGTGATATTCGTTATTGAACGCTAAATTGAAATCTACACTCAAAAACCCGAGCTCACAAGCCATCTCCTAGAATCGGGGTTTTTTCCAAGATACTATCACTTGCGTCCACTTTCTAATTAGTACAGCGTTTCCATTGAAGATCTAAGAACGAAACACCAACCCCATAACTCCAAAGCATTGCAAGACCTGTTGAAAAACGCACCACAAGTGTTAAAAATCTGGTAAATGAGCTCACCTGCCCAGCAGCTCCATCGTTATCGCCAACATCGCTGTCAAACAGCGAATCAACCGCATCAGCTCCCAGCATTCCCAAGCTATCTGTACGTATACTTGTGAGCATCTTGGTCATGTTGTCTTCGTTCACAGCATTGCATCCAAGATCCTCTGCAGGGCTGCGTAAGCTCTGTTCTATCATCGCAGAACTAGCACACGAATTCCCTAGCGGTAC